CTACGCATTTGGAGAGCCGGCGCACATTGATTCCAATTTCAGTATAAAAATAGCCTAGGAACCTGTGTTTAGGTTCAGGCTCAGTTTTGTCAAAAAGCACCTTTTTCTTTACTACGTTTTCTTCTTCGCGAAATCTTTATGATTGTTTTTGCATGTATTGTCATTTATTTTTTTTTATTATGATAGCAAATTTTACCCTCATCACCCTTATTTATTTACTGGCTTAAGTTCAATATCAACAGATATTATCAGTCTACCTTATGGCCTGGCCTGCCAAAGGTAGTGATATGGTACCAAATTTTTAGCAACGGTAGAGTTGATACTTTATTAGAATAATAATAACAATAATAGTTGAAGTACCATTCAATAAGAACCATTATTACTGTTAAATATTATGAAGTATTGAACGGCCTATGATAAAACCATTTAATGAAACTTAGTTTTGAAAGCTGCTTTTCGCGCCCAAGGCTTACTCTGTCTCTTAAATGTTGATAATTTTATCTTCTACTATAAAGACACATTTTGTTCTTCTGGCTCGACAGTAGCCGACTGTTTGGATTAAACATCTCTATCTATTTTTTACGAGTGATACTAAGATTCCATTGTACGCATTTTCTCGCTTAAAAAAATCTGGTATAGTTATACAAGTATAACAACCGGACGTCCACGTTTAGTTCTAAGGTGTTTGTAATTTTTCCATGTAATTTACCGACTATTCTTCAAAAGGATACTGTTACTTGGAGCTATCCCTATAATTGTAGTTTCTATCGGTTCGTTGCAGAAAGAATAAATATGAGTAAGTACTCCTCCATGGACGAGTATGAGCATTTGAATGAAGAAGCTGATCGCTTTATGAACAGCGGACACTCGGGAAAGCAGCGCTCGAAAAAGGAGGCCTTTGAGCATCAGAACCGGCCCGACCCGCAAGGACACACGAGGAAAATTGTTACTAATATGAGTAATCAGAACCAACGAAGGGCCTCTAAGTCATTTAAGGCATAGAAGGTACGCACCACTAGGTGATGGAAAGAATTTTCAAGCGAAACACTCATTAAAAAAAATACAGGATTGACTGCATATCCAGAAGCCACTGGACCTACTAAACTTGTCTCCGTAGTATATATAGTATAGTAACAGTAACACATAATATGTAGCTGCACTAGAGGCAAAAATTTATCCTAGCTTTTCTGATAGGACGTTCGGATCAGATTTACGCATTTTGGCCTGTCACTGTTTTCGTTTCACCGACCATTTCAGAAGTTCTTAAAATATGTGCCACCCGCAGCATGATCGTTCGACACTGCGGGTTTTGTGGGATAGAAGAGCATAAGCGAAAATCAACGCAAGAACAAGAAAAAAAATGGGACAGCGCATAGCAGAAACAATAAGGATCTCGTTAAGATCATAATAATAATATAACAATAATAAGCGGAACACAAAACAGGTAAACCATTAGGACCTTAAAATACACAAAATATGCAATAAGATAGTGAAAGTGGTTTACTGTACCTCATGTGTACTACTATATGTAACGATATACTTTTCAGTGAAAACTTGTTTTACATTAGGGCAAAAACGTGTCCTTCTCAATGACAAAAAAAAAGCTCCTGTAATCGATTGTGTTTGCATAGCCTGTAAACAGATGACGTTTTCGTTAGGCGCCTTCGCAGAGAGCTCACCAAGCAGTAGAGCTGAGTGACTCCTTAACCGTTGGATTTGTTTGTGTTGATAGCTGTTGAGTCAGCTATCAGTAGTGTTTTTGCAAATAAAAAGTAAAAAATGTATATAAAACTAGTGCAAGATGCCGGCACGACAGCAACCGGGAACATGTGCTGAAAACGCTCGAACAGTGCTACAAAAAAATATTGGGATTATTATTATCCAGTAAAATATGACTCAACTAATCTACCTCGCATCGTACTGGATTATGCTTTGGCAAATAAAAGCCAGTATCAAAAGCATGGACATAACGAGTTTTCTTTTAACTTTAAATCGTATTGATCAATAAACTGTTTCTTGATAACTGACAACGAGGTTTGTTTGATGCTGTAAAAATCCTCCGCATATTGAATGATGCGGATTTCACTGATCGCTTTCTTTTTTTAACGTGTTGCCAGAAAGCATTTTTTGTTACCTTTTCAACATATTACAATTAAAGCTTTCCAGAGAATGTGCCGATTTCTATAGTTTTACTAGAATTGAAATAATTTTACACAGATATATAATTTGCCAACTTGCTAGGAAACGCTCTTTTACATGTACTTTAAATGACCGTTGGAAAGAAGTCCATGTGGTAACGTGGCTGTCTGCATTGTGGCGGGTCTGGTACGAAATCCATGTGTGTCTAAGAAATCTTCAATGATTGGTTACCTGTATTAACAGCACTCCGAGAGGCCCTTTAGTAGTAAATTACTTGAAATGGACGGGGCAAGCCCTAGATAAATCTATGTTATTTAAATGAAAAATGATTCATATAACAGCTTAGTATGCTGTTACAATTCGAACGATACATTTCGTATACGAGAGCATAGTAATACTGTTATATAATATATTCACAAATAGTTAAGGATCTTCAAACATATTTTCATCTTAAGAAGCTTACTTCGTCTCATTATTATTATTGCACCCGTGTCCCAGGAGCACCTACGTATATCTGATGAACGGGTTGGTAACTGCGTCAAAATTGGAAACCGTTATAGATTCAGACTATTGTAGAATTATACCAACTGTGCCAGTCGATTGTGGCATAAATTAAATACCTAACAAATCAGATAATGCATATCAAACAATTAAGCTCAGTTCTATCGAGCTATCCACGACCTTCAGATAAATATACTCGTTTAATTGCAGATTTCCAGACTTCGACAGATGTTGCGCTGCTCTTAGAATTTTTCGTAAGCAAATAGGTTATCACTTAACACGTTATCATGTTAAAAAATGATACGCCTACCTAAGTTAAGAAAAGCTTTTTGTTTATTCGGTCGTAAAATAAATTAGTTTGGGAGCATTGTTTGAACCACAAAAGATAAAAACGAATACAGTCAAACATTAGCTTAGAATCTTAAAGTGTATCTGCTTCTTTGCTAGTAGTAGGTCTGCATTTAGTCGAGCCATAGAGTTCTTCATCTAGTAAATCCGCGGATGACAGAAAAATGAGTTGGCAATTGCTGTACATTGACTTTTTTGTATTATTACAGTAAATATGTTTGGCTTTAAAGAAATGTGCTCTATGTGGCCTGATGTTTAAACTAGTAGGCCATCCACGACTGATAGTTTGCCCGCCCAGTCCGAAGAAATGTGGGTACTTTTTATCCGTACAAAAAACAATAATAACTTTAATCATCAGTTTGTTATTATTATTAACGTTATAAATACTGAATTGATAGATATAATGAAATGAGCTTTGACTGTATCGTAGTAAAGCTTTAGAGTGCGTTAAATGCTTTGAAATATAAGAAAAAAAGCAAATTTCTTTTATCGTCATTTATAAATGCAAGTCAGACTTATAAAAGTGACTTGTATCTAATAGATACGATAGATGATGTTTGTTATGCCTTAACGGACTTTCGCATCTTTCAGTCGCATTAATCATGCATCACCTAAATTAAAGTTTTTGTTTATATTTTGTTTTCAGGACTCTATCTAAATCGATACAGATAAAAAAAAAGTTACAGATATTTCAACGACTTCACATCTGCTAGAAGTGTCTTTTCTATCGTTCACGTTTATTCAATATAGCCAACACTTAATATAGCTTCATTTCAGGACCTAAATCTTTGATAGCAGAATATCTATTATTTAACCTGCACGTTACGTTTCAATAGTTAGCATGCACCAAACGCTACTGGTCTATGTAAACTCCTTGAAGTATCACTCAAATACGCTACATACAAAAAAAACTCTAAAGAAACTCAATGTTTAGGTGAGAGCAAGCCAAAAGTCCCAAAATGCAACTGAATGCTCAGAATTACCAAAAAATCGAAAAGTGCACGGTCGTGTAAAAAAAAAAAGAGCCGGTTTTTCAGAAGACGCACAAAAATTGACAAGCAAGCTTTTAGTCTTAGTACGGGTCTTTGCAACGATTAAAGATATGATAATAACTAATCTTTGCTCAAATTAGGAAAACGACGAACGTCTATTCGCCATGATGAGTTTGGTTTTTTGATGGAGAAATAGCTGGCTCTCGTATGATACAAGGAAGAGTTGATGAACGCATTCACGTTACTACAAACAGCCTGCCAAAAGTTGTGCCGATTCAAGTGCCGTACCTGTACGGATGAACTAATAAACAAACAAATGAATAAGAAAAGAAACTTTTCCAACTGACTATTTTAGAACACGTGCGGGTAAAAATAAAAAGATACCATATAACATATTCGTCCAGAGCATACATTTTTAGAAGGCCTAAATAACCTGTAGCATCATTTTTTTTTAATATTAATTGCTCTAATTAATTTCTTTAATAGTAACAGCTATTTATTCTTATGTATTGGCATCATTTTGATGGATCGTACAGATAATCAATCACTATTAGAGGTCATGAAGCGATCGGTTACGTTAAACTAATCATCAAATCGAGTTCATTAATTAATAAAAAATTGAATTATTGCGTGTTATTAAAACGCCATGTTGCATTGCCAATCATTGGTCGATAAGGGACACTTTGCTGTAAGTAATTTATTCTAAGTTAAATTCAGCTTTGTTGACTGGTTGTCGCATACGGCGCGAAACTAGCTTATAGGGTGGTACAATTGTATACAATTTGCGTTACGATCAATGCGTTTTTCGTATTACTCTCTTTGTACATAGGACGCTTGCTGCAGACGGCGTACGGTAGTAGACCGTGAGCGAGAGGTGGGAAGAAAGAGGCTGGCTATTTGTATCTCCATAGAAGGGGGCGAGAGGGAGAGGGATTAGTGGGGAACGTAAACCCCTAACCACAGCTCCTGGGGACAGCACTGAGTAGTGGTCTAACAGCAGCAGCACCACCACCACTACCATCACAGCTTTATGAATCTGTTTGTTCGATAGTGAATTGTATGGAAACTATTGGCCGTAGGCAGCCATAAGCCGTTACCTAAAATAGGTAACCAGTATTCTCGTAAGGCCAGTTGTCCCCACGTATTCTTACTAGAGTACCATCATACACCGAATGTACACTCCACCCATTTTATATGGGCGTCTCACGGCCAAATTAAGACCTAGGATATTTTGCCAGGGACCTTCTTCTGTTGGAGAGATTGGCAGTTTCAGCCATAGAAAAACTTTTTGTGGGCTAAACACTAAGACGCTGCCTGTGCCTTTTGTTTGACGCAAGTGGAGGTAAACCTCGATAAGTGTGACCGATTCAATGGTGATATAGATAATTCGACGATTGTGTATGAGGAAAACAAGAAAGTGTCTGCTCGAAAAAGGTTAAATGAGCCCGTTATTTGCCCGAAATTAACCCAAACCAACCACTACAGGTGCAGTGATTTCAGCGGTTTTGCTATGTAATGCGTGAACGTCGGTGCATTTGTTTTCCTTTACTAGAGCGGAGATTAATAAGCGAAGATAGTGGTTACGACAGCTCACGTGCACACGTATAGCAGACGGTAAATTTGTTTTGTTGTGTGCTTCAGTACTTCAATACCGGCCGGTTTATAAATCGTGGCTGCAGGCGTTGTTTGAGCGTCTCTGATCTAGGACAGACGGGGACTTCGGCTCGTTCACGAATATTACAAGGAAACAGAGCATTTTGAAATAAGACCCAGAAAGTTCATGCAGCCTCCATCGGTCATTGGTCAGTCACGCATACTGGACGGTGAAACGGAAGTAGGGAGCCACAGCAACCGACTGCCGTAGAGGGCTTGTTTGTCCGCTTGCCTGCCGCCTTATTTACTGAACAATGGATGAAGTCGTGACAAGCAATTCTGCCCCAACAATTAATGGTCCGGGGCGCCGGCGACGAACGCTAGCAGTCCGTGGCGACTATCTACGAATAACCAAAGAGGAGCTTCGAAAAGAACTCCGTCTTAGAGGACTACGGACTAGCAGTAAACGCATAGAAATGGTAAGTACGCAAAAGGTACTTGGTTAACTGATGGTCAGTGGTAAGCTTTGCATCGATAAATAAAAAGAGTGCAAGAGAAAAGTCTCACACCGTATTCTTAAAAGGATTTCACATAAGGACCCGAATGGGCTTTTTTGTGCTATTTTCTCTGTACAAGAAAATGGTGCAAACAGCCGATAATTCAAACTTCGGACGCTACCGTAAATAACACTTATTAGGGATAGAATGCACTGTATGTGCTTATCGTTGGTCCTCGGCTTTTAGACCACAGTCATATAAAGCTGTTAACAATTTCAATATTTTTAGGCCACTGGAAACGCCTAATTCTGTTTTAACTGGGTTAACGACGGAGATAGTTAAAATTATAAACACTGTGCGTCAAACACGCAGGAACGCTCATGAGCCAAAGCAGCCCTAGTACTTGTGAATTTCTCCTGACTGACCTACCTTAAGGCGCCTTTATAAATTCCAAATTTGAGCTTAATTCCTTAATCAAAAATTGATCTGATTTCTTTGCTAGCGTTATTTTTTGCGATTTTAAACATTAAAGTGAACGGCGGTGATCATGAAATAGCTAAGTTTATGAATCCGCAAAATATTCTACCTGTGTGCAGATCTAAGGCAATGATCAAACAAAGCCAGCGATTAACGGCACTTTGCACGTCGTCTCTAAGCTGTTAGTTGTGACAATGGTTACGTCTCTCATCCTATCGTTGTGGGGTAATCTATGACAAAAATTATTTGCTTTCATATTACAATATTTCATCTGACCTTCTCAATATTGTAGCGAAAACCATTTCGTGTGCTACTGGGTTCAAGTCCTACCGCACTCAAACCGCTGATGCAAAGGTAAAATTTAAATCGGATATGTCGCAACTTTTTTGTTGGACTTAACGCTGCGTCAAATGACGATTCGTAGTTTGGCGCCTTGATGATAGGATGGCGCCCTTTCCGCGTTATTAAGCCGTCCGCAGACGGTTTTGTTTTGATTCTCTCAAAAATCCGTGAATGGTGCCCGTGTGGCAGGAACAGCGGCCAAGTGAAGTGTCAGAGGCAGCAAAGTGGTACGCACGTTCTGAAATTGACAGAGACGGGTTTTTTTTTTTCACGGACAAAGTAGTTTTCCTGATTGATCGCAGTTAAATGCGAATAATATTTAACTGCTTAGTTTTCAGTCACAGTAGTTTTTGCTAAGTGCTCAGTGGTGTGTACTGCCGCCGGAAGTAGTGGAGATCGTGGTATTCCCCGACACATTTACTGTCTATATTCTAATTCTTAATGAAGTGATGACGAATGGCATAAAGCTGACAACAGGCAAAAGAACGGCTAATTAGAAGTAACAGATACGCAATGCCTATGTAGGGCCTTCCATTAAACGAGAAGTGATCACTGAATTGGTTACCAACTGGTGAAATTAAATTTAATGTGGCCAAATTACTTCATGGTATTTCCATTATATGCGCGCACAACATATATTTTTGATTATTGTCCCTTGAAAAACTGCCTGATAGCATATCTGCCAAGTCATTTCTTGGTGAGTACGGCATTAATTATGCAATACACTGCAAAACGGTTAGATCTTAGTTATTAGTCGAAGTATCCGTGAAGAGATTTGCTCTGGTCCACTTATTTATCAGTGAGCAGTCTCTTCATGCCGATAACTTGGGCTATCCTGGTTACTTAGAGAACAAGTTCAATTCGAATTAGTGAGTTTATATCCATAAGTGAGTTAAGAAGACAACCTCCAATGAAACCATGATTTAATTACGCGAACTATTATTTGTAGCGCTAAGCGAAAAAAAACTTAGCATTCTTTATCTTTGTGTAGCACACAGATCAACAACAAAGTTTAATAAAACGTAGTCTGAATGTGCCCGGATACCAAACGCATAATGTCCACTACACGATAAAAAAGGTGACAGATAAAAGAGATACTGAGTGTGGGTTTGTTTCTTCACAGTAACAGCACACTGTTATCATATTAGCTTGATACATCGAATCACTCAGTACAATTCTGATAAATTTACTTAAGGCGTTTCTGAGTACAATGAGTACCTACAATAGAGGTATATATCATATGAATCTAACCAAATATGTTTTAAGGTTGCGGCCTTTACCAAGACGAATCCACAAAAAAATAAAGCTATGCAACGTCCCGGATCTGCAACTTCCCGGAACTACAACTTCCCGATATGCCTTTGTTAGATAAGACCCATTATTTGTCCTGTGCTTGGTGCGGTCGCGAACTTGTGGGGTTTTCGTGCGAGTGCATTTTCGTTATTGCACGAACATTCATATCTTCATGTGAGCCTATTTTCACAGCATTTATAATAATAGAAAAGTGCTTTTGTACTTGTTATGAAAAATGAAGATCGGAACAATAATATATCATATGCGTGCACAAGACACAACTAGTATTGTTATTAAATTAACACATGATTGTAGTCTGCACAACACACATGTCAACATCGCCTTTATTGCGCTAAAGCGCAGATATCTATAATCCTTATCATTACACAAGTACTTCTATGGCCTATGATAATTAATGTTAGCTACACAAAGGTCAATTGTTAAATACGCTAAAAACAAATTAATAATTAAGGTGCTTTGCTGAATATATTTATTAAAAGTACTTTTTTAGTACTTGTTTTACCATTTGTTGTGAAAATGTACAAACATTTTGTGGCATAAAGTAAAGTGCCATAAAATTTGTTCAAGTCGTTCAACATTCAAAGATGGAATGGATATAACTGGGAGACACGAAATACATTTGATCTCCCTAGTTTACGGCGGTTTGCTAAGTGTGCATATAACATATTCTGGTAAGAAATTGTATTGTGTTTAGAAAGCTTACATGGTTTTCTCAAATTTGAGAGAGTTATTTTTTGCTGTTATACTACTACTGACTTACTGAATAGGAATATCTAAAAACACGTTTCCTAACTATATTATTGTTAGAAGAATTGAATATTGTCATGTTTGTACTACTTTGAGAACACAACTTGTCTTGTCGTCGTTTGTATTTGACGGCTTTCGTGAACTTTCTCGGAAGTAAGTAACCGAGATAAAAGGTAATACGCAGTGTACTCTGGTACTTAGGGTACTAGTGAATGCGTCTTGGCAGTTTGATGCTACTGGTGCAATCTTATTGCCATAACGTTACAAAGTCGCATGCAGACTAAACCCTCTCCTTTACAGCGGAATGACAACATAATGGGTTCTTCGCGTCAAGCGACAGATTAACCCTAAAGTTCTTGTGGTAGAAACATCAGCTCAACGAACAGATCGAGTATATCGACTCAAATAAATAAATGATTGCGGTACTTGATATCAAATATAATATTTGCGCCTCTAATTAATCGCATTAATACTGCGATTTCACAGTTCAATACACATGGTCGTCACGGGCTGAGCATTAACGTAGATTTAAGCTCAAGCTTTCGGTTATAACTGCCTATGTGTCGTTCGTTCTGTGCCTCCCATGTAGTGAACCTACTGAGGTTAGGTCCAATGGCCTTTGTCGTCCATACACTAATTTTTTTTATTTAAATATTGGGTAAGATAGGCAACAGATGTCCGTTCCATTGGTAGAATTTCCTCTACGTGGCTGTATAATACAGCATCACTAGAACATGCAATATATATATTGGCTATAGAATAGGAGAAAGTGATTCCATTAACCTTTGCGTGTATATTTGTGTGTGTGTGTAAACTTTGCTGACTGACTCGACAACAACAACAACCCATCGTGCCAGTTGTGCGCTTTAACGTGATTTTATATCGTGACCAGCCGAATAAGTATGGCAAAGGTCTGCTGTCGCTGTGGGCATAGAGGAAACGCTCTTTTTTCTTGTTCATGTAATAAATAAGGAAATGGGGCTGTAGAATTCAGATAAGGAATGTGTTTGTTAAACAGCTCAGTTTGTCACCTGTCTAAGCATTCTGTTTATGGAGGTTGTTGTTGAACTTAAGTCATTCGTATTACCTAGAGTTTTGCTCAGTTAACCGGCCAAATATCTAAATTAAATACTTCGCTACTTAGGGTAGGCAAACAAGTAGTTGCCTTTGCTGACAAATAAGAGTTAAAGATTTGTATTGTTTTTCAATCGAAGGCTCTGTAGATGGCCACGCAGCGTAGTAACTCACTTCATATATGTTGAGGCTTTCGTGTTGTGTGCACGTTAACAAATAAATGTGCTACGTAGTACATACATCCATAATGCTCAATACTGTGCATCAAATGTTGACAGTAATTAACGTTGATTTTGTCCCTAGTGGAGACCAAAACCCCCCAGCGCATCGGTTCTGCAGTACCATTATTTTGGGTAAAACTGTCGCGACGAAACGTGTGCCTCAGTAGGTCTCCGTGTAGTAACATACTTATTTTTTAATATGAAATCCTCAAGTGTTTTTGGAGCACATTTTTAGCATCTATGGCAAATCCTTAACTGCCAATCAAAAGAAGAGCGTGTCGATTAGCTGAGCGGACTAGTCAATCCGATTGGACCAAATCTTTATATAGTTTTTTTTTGTTTGATTTTTTTTAACGGAGTTAGAGTTATGACTACGTTCAAAAAAGGCTGTTGCATTCGAAACCACACATATCAGAAAGCTCCCTCGCACGAACGGAAGCTGTGAACTACTTCACAACAATGGATGGTAACAACAATGCGCTTTGTAAAATCTATCTTTTGTAATATTTTGTGGAAAGCAACTATAACCGACTACAAAAGTGGCCGAAATGTTAGAGTGAGGTGCCGCGTTAAGCCGCAATGCAAGACAAAAAGTGTCAGAATGCACATACACTGCGAGACTTAACGAGATGGTTAACCGTGGCACACAGATTAAGCATTCGGGACCTAACGATCTTTCTTATTTATAAAAATTGTTGAATGGATTTCTCATTATCTTTCATGTTGAAAATTATACGTGATGTTATCTATAGTCTCAGTCTGACTGACGTGACCTAATAAATACTTGGGAGTGATGCACTATGTCTCAATGTAATAGTGTTACGTATCAATCGTTGCATGCATATATGTATATATAACATTAATTTTTCAATAAAATGGATGGCGATGTTCGTTAAACGGAATTTTCTGAATGACAAAAGAAGGCATGTGGGATTATCAGATAAATTTCTATTAAAATAATCTCGTATAGAGGCAGACGGTATCACAGACGCATTACATATACACGCAGACAAAGCATTTTGCTCCCATCAAAAGGGTTAATTAGGATTTCCGTGAAGTAGACAGGGGACGAAAAAGTTAGCAAGCATAATGACAGTGCTTACGAAAATATATTATGAATATTTATAGTTATTATTATTTATAATATATAGTTGTTGTTGTCTTGGTCTACGTTTTGTTGCTTATTTCGTTTTCTTATGCCTTCAGATCCGAAAACTTGAAAAGTGGGAACAGGAACGTCGGGAGCAGGAACGACGAGAGCAGGAGGACGGTAACCCTGCTGTTCAGGGGTTGAAGATTGCAGTATCACCGTCACTACTGGCCTCATTGAATTCAGCCACGGGCGGTGGGACAGGCCTTACGTCCAGCGGTACGAGAGAGGCTGCGGGTGGTAGTGGTGACGTAGGTCTTCTTCCATTTGATCTCGGTGGCAGCTCGGAAAGCTTGCTGCTTGGCCAGATGGTCGGACTCCACCAAGGGGACGGCCGGAAGCTGGCACGTAGACAGAACAACAAAGTCCTTGGAGGTAAAAGATTAGCGAGATTACATGTTACTATGTGGATTCATCGGATTTTTTTTGATAACGACCAAAACCTTCATGTCCTGGTACCCCTGCAAGTGTAACATTATCTGTAACACGGAGACACGACGAATTTGGTAAATGTTACTAAAGTGAAGGCTCTAAATATTTGATTCATCAAACGAATTTTTTCGAATAAAATAAGGTTTTTTGCCTTTGAATAAAGCCTTGTGATCGTAGTGTTTAGTATTTAGGCTAAAATACGAAATACTCAACTAAACTGACACTAAGTATATCTTCTGGTGCATATACTTATAGGCTATTTCTAAGTCTTTTTTAGTGGCTGTTTATTGCTTTTAGTCATATAGGGCTTCATATTGTTGTGATTTGTACGTTTACTCTACAGGTGAAAGTGGCAGTAATGGAGACGGTGATGGAGTCAGCGTAAGTGACGGGAACGCGGGCTCTAGAAGCTCTGTTGAGTTACATATTGAACGGCAAAGCCTAGTCCTTTGGCGTAGGCCATTTACTACTCTACACTATTTCTCACGGGAAATCTTCGATCTCGTGAAGCAGTTGTTTGAAAGGTAATCTATTCACTTAACAGTTGTAAACAATAGAAGTCTTTATAATTGAAGCTACGGTTTTAGCAACGTACCATATGACACATAGTGCGACTGTGTTATTTATTCCTTGAGCTGAGCGAACATGTGATTTGTAGATCGAACAGCAGCCAGAGACCGACTTCAAGTCACAGTACTAAAAGAAGTGCATGCAAAACTGTTATTAGTATTTTACCAGACGTTACCATTGCACATCACAAGTGCTCATCTATAAGGAGTGACAATCAGAACTATTTGACTATCTTTACTTTAATTATAATTTAGACTGTATCATATAAGTGTAGATAGCACGTACCTCATGTAGTTTACAATTCTCTTTATTATTGTGCTCATTCGCTGCTTCCAATGTTGCACAAGGTTTTGGATTCCAGTTAGAAGCTTAAAAGATTACAGGAGCCGATGATTATCTATAAACTCATACGCTTTTTATTCTATATGTGTAGAGGGTACTTATCCTGTAAAATCTGCTTTGAAAACGGTGATCTTTTGCTATCCGAACCTATGGCCCTCTGGCCCTTTTAGGCTAGAGGACATTGAATTGCTCGTGTTGATATTTATTGTTTTTATTGCTTATATTACAGCATGTATCGACATAAAGTGCGTGTTTGTATAGTGTTCTTGTTGGCTGCGTGCATGGCAGTTTTATACTACGCGGACGGTTCTCATCATGGATACTTGGAACCATGGAAGAAACAGGCAATATGGTGTATCTACTGGATAGGTCTAGGAGTTCTTTCCTCTGTGGGTCTTGGAACAGGTTTGCACACATTCGTTCTCTATCTTGGCCCACATATCGCAGCCGTAACGTTAGCAGCTCATGAATGCCAAAGTCTTGACTTTCCTGAGCCACCATACCCAGATGAAATCAAATGTCCAGAACAACTCGGGCCAGCTGTGCCTGGCATCTGGGCCATCATGTCGAAGGTTAGTATTCGATTGGAAACATGTAATTGTGTTTCAGCAGATATACGGATCCACAAGTCTCATCTCGCGTCTATTTTGCAGTAAAATTTGACTAATCTATTGATGCTACACTCAGCCTCCACAGCTATGCCGGTGCAATCAAAAATAACCTAGCAAATTGTGAAAAATATAAAAATTCCAACATGCTTCGCAAGATCTAATTCTGTTTCTGTTGTGAAGCGCTTAAGCTTTGAGGACAAAGAAAATGGCATGCGTGCGTTGAGGCTGATGGTAATTACTTTGAAGCGGATGACTAGGACTGAATGCTTGCAGTATGTGTAGTAGGTACAGAACCGAATTATCAATACTCTTTGTACTGTAGTCCTGCTTTTCTATTAGAATATTATTATAGTAATGATTAAATATATTTCATCAGTTCCCACTGATTTAAAAAAAATTTCACCTTAACCGCTTTCAAACAAATTACCAAAAAAGGGAAAATTTTCCCAAATTAATTAGGAAAAAGCAGTTTACTTTCGGAGAAGAGTACCTATTTAACAATGTTCATAAATCATAAGGTAAGCTGGTTCTTATTTTGGGAATTCCCAACCATCTTGGTGAAGACCACTTGCCTCTCAATAATATATCAGAAGTTTCCTCAAAAATCCAATATGTTGAGCACAAAAAAAAAACTAACAATTTCTTAGTTTAAACTTTCAGAAAGTGTTTAATGGTTGTAGAACAAATCGTAAAAAATACCACCTTGCCCAAATTAGCATTACACTCTATCTTAAAAAGATAACTCCTACCCGGAAGAAAGATCAAGTCGACACGGTCGTACGCGCAGCCCATCCGAGGACGAAATTCTAGCAGCCCAAACAAGGTTAATTCAGTGCGATCGCCAACCATGCCAACAGACAGAGGTTTATCAGGTCGTTCAGCATGGAACGTGACATAATGAACTCTCGACTTTCAAGTTTTTACACAAGCCCAGTTTATTTTTAGTCGAAGTATGTACTATTATTATTATCTATATTGTTTCTCCCGCCACTTGGATAGTAATTGATTTATTCCGCTTCTGAAGAAGTCTTTGGTATAAGGGTTTATCAAATACGGTCATTTCGACCTAATGTAGGGACTTGAATTATTTTCTATTAAAAAGTTTTTGCGATTTTTAGAAATGCTTATCTGTGGAAACAATGTCCACTGAGTACAGTGGATATCAGACAAGCCGTAACCAATCCTTATATTTTCGCTATTGCGATTCTTGCGGCGTAAACTATTGTCATCCAATAGGAGTGGTTTACCTTATGTTCACTAATTTTAGCAGCTAAATGCGTCGTTCGTTCACCATCTTACTCAGTTTTTGTTAATATAGTTCAGCCGTAATCGACGAACTAGGACTCAAAGAGCTGCGTAACTTACACCCGCATTAGACAGACGCCATGAGCTGTACATGTGCTTAGGGCGATGTCTTGTCGATTCAGCTGCCTTTACTCTCTTTCATGTCACTGTCTGCGATTATCGTAGAGGATCCCTTTTTAATCAACAGTGCAAAGAGAGCCGCTTTCTGATACGCGCTCAAATCATGTGGCATCTATTTATCCTATTTTGTTCACCCTATTAATTTGGCCAAGATGAACAACTATGGCATGTTTATGTACATCAGGCCAGACTACTAACACCCATGAGATTTAAAATATGTCGGCTTCCGACACAAGTATCGACTCTCTAGTTATTCACTTTTGCAAGAGCTTTTCTATGCGACACATTTTCGAATTCAAAATTTCCTTTCCGGAATATTTGAACTAACAGTTCGCGGTTTTCCTTTTAGTAGGTGAATGACAAATTTTACAGTGTACAAATTTTACACAAACTCTACGGGACCCTTTCGTTTAACCAGTCTTTTTAGAAGCTTTTCATCAGGATATGCTTTCATACGGATAGCATGCAACATGTTTGTTCTGTTGGAAATAAAATTTGCCACATTTATCAAAGTGTTCCCGAATGTGTGGTAAAACAGATCCGTGTAGTAAATTTTATGAATTGAATGCAAATATTGCGTTCACGAAGAAAACGGTCTAATTATTCCTTCGCCTGAAGAACCGTACCACAATGTAACTCCTGCTAAAAGTTTACAGGGTACATTTGCGTGACGCGTTGAACCGATTAATTGTGTCATTCAATCCAAATGCAGCTCCATTACCGCAAACAATTTTTTCCGAAAACTGTGCATCTTGTATATGTTTTTGGGATACTTCGCTTTAGCTTGTTAGTATTCTTTTTTGGCTAGTTCGCTGACGTTCTTGATCTTCCGGAACGTCGTTTGTAAGCTACTAAGGGGCTCCATCTGTTTCAAATGAACGGTGTCACCTGCGTTACGCAATTTTCTAACTATTACATTCTATGCTCTGTCTATATAATTTATAAATACGAATTTTTTGTAGACAGAGAAATGTTGGTTGATTGTCAGGAATGGCTAAGCAAAACGGTACAGCAGTAGCGACAAGGACTTGAAGTTTCAAATTCGAATCTGCAACCCATTATTTAAATCCGCAACGACACATTTGGAGCAACGCAGTTTTATCATTAGAGGATTTATTAATAAAGATTATTACTACTAACGAAATATGTTTCTATTTAGGTGCGAGTTGAGGCATTTATGTGGGGAGCGGGAACAGCTCTGGGCGAGCTACCCCCCTATTTCATGGCTCGGGCTGCTGCCTTGAGTGGTGCTCAAGACGCAGAAGATCTCGAAGCGGTTGAAGAGATCCGGGCGTTGGAAGCAGCTGACAGAACCCAGCTCTCATGGGGAAACCGATTAAAGTTATTAGTTGACGACCTTATTGGGAAGGTAAATTACTTTTTATTAATATTAGTATTTATATTTGTTCCATAGAAAGCTCGAAAGCCCTTAGCGCCACTATATTCGTAATGCCTGTAGCATTGTGTATTGCAGCATATATAAACGCACTTGATAATAGGAACGAGATCTATTTCTGAAAAACACCATTCCTAAAGCTGTTTACAGGGATTTAATAGGATATCTGCTGCACAACAATAAACGTTATTATTGCAGTTTCTGTGACACGATTTTGGCGCAATTATACTCCAGCTTCGTAACTTCTTGTTGTATTCTATAGTTCAGCTCTCAAAAGTTCAGCCAGATTCACCATAATTAAATTACTAAGCACCGAACCGACTCCACCTAGGACAATGACTGTGAACTGAATGAGTGAAAACTTAATGTATTACCCAATATGAACGTTTAGCCAGATTAATTTTTTTATTTATAGCATTTGCTAAATATAAGTCTATAGACATACTAATAGAATATTTTTAAATCTTAATGGCCTTGTTATCTGTACTTCTGCGCGTAGCTGTTCCGTGCAGAATTTGTCTAGCTTTTCTAGGGCAGTAAATTTAGTATATTTGGACTCGGCGTCACATATGAAGACGAGGCCGTGAATCTCGAGAAGATAGGGTACACATTCGTGTTCATTAGTAAAAAGTACTCCAATCGTTCGTTTTAACCGCTTTATTAATCTAAAGCAAATATTGCAACCGATCTGTGTATAGTGTGTAGTTTTATGTCAAGGAATTTTGCCAAGATATTTTAACAAATAGATATTTGAATTGCTAATTGCAGGTGGGATTTTTTGGCATCTTGGCATGTGCGTCCATTCCAAATCCACTGTTTGATGTAGCAGGTATTGTGTGTGGCCATTGGGGTGTTCCGTTCACCACGTTCTTTGGAGCGACTCTTATCGGAAAAGCAATTTTCAAGATGCACGTGCAAAAGCTATTCGTTATCCTTGCTTGCGGAGAAACTCACGTCAAGTTACTTTTAAATTTCGTCAGGTTGGTTGGAGCTACACTAATAGATACATGATAAAGTAGTTAACATAGGTAACTCATTATTCTACGCGCAATACATGTTCCAGGTGAATAGAACACCAAACAAAGAATCGCTTAGAAATCGTTTCTCCAATAACTTATTTGTAATTGCCATGATTAACATTACGCAAAATTAGTTTTTCTGTTAAGTGATTTAACAGATCTTTAAAGTGGTTCCATTAGGAAGCTCGTACGATTTAATTGTTGTCCTTTGAATTTAATAACGATATTAGTCTAATAAAAGTCGACGTTTAAAATCCGTTGTTTTTCTGTTGCCGTTATTGCAGGACTATACCTATCGTGGGCCCCAGTGTCGTACCCGTATTTGAGGTGTACCTAGAGAAGCAAAAGAACAAGCTGAAACAAGGGAAGTCTGCAGGATCGGGCGGAGGCCCTGAGGGATCTTTGTTGTCTAGCATTTTTGAGAAATTTGTCATGGTTATGGTGGCGTATTTTGTCATATCAATTGTCAACTCGATGGCACAAAGTTTCCATAAGAGAATATCTCGCGTATCTCGTGTTAGCAAGAAAAAGGCAGAGCCAAATTCGTGCAACGACAAAAGCCTATAAAAACAACATTTTCTTTGTTGATTACTACAGTCTTTCGCTTGTTGCGCTACTACCTCCAAAGAGAGACCAGAAAGCGAGAAAGGACGGAAGTAAAAATCTCAATACCGTTTGAACGCTTTGGCGCCCGCTCAATGTCGGTACCAAGACAGCTACTTACAACGTTCTTTTAAGGTAGAAGTCTTGACCACAACACCAAAAGCTAGTAATCGACCTTAGGCTGTACGGCGGCTATTTCTATATGCCTCTTGTAGTATAGGAAGATCGAACGGGCACATTCAACAATGTATAGAACTGGGTTGATTCAAGCACGTGTGGGACTCCATACGTACGCCTTTTGACCGTGTCATTTTTCATTACTATTTTAGTTCAACGATACAGCTAAAATGATACAAACGGTATTAAGATGCGCAGCGCTGTTCGTGAACGTAATGATAGCACCGAAAAAGAAAACTGGCATTCGCTGAGTGGTATGGCGCAGATGCAGACAAGCAATTGGATTTTACGGTGTTGTATTTTTTAATGCTCAACAATTGAAACGCATGAATCGACTCAATCTAGAGGACAAAAACAAAAGCTAAATAGCAAAAAAACTGTAGATTATATTTTCAATTATATCAAGTATAAGATGACACTTGAAAGATCAGAAAAGACCGTACCATTACCATAGCTTCCACCCACATATGTATTAACTTTGTCCATGAAAAATAACAGAACTGGGTTAGTTTTTGTGAGTTTTTTTTAAGATGTAATTATTTCATGCAATGCATTCACTTTCTTCGCATGCCATCATTTATAGTGAAAGTGCATATAAACATGGTAACACTTTTATTTGTCGCAGCATGTTCCCCAGGACGTTTTGATGTCCTTAGATAGTAAGGAAAAGCCTGTAATTGTTATATAATATGTAATGTGAGCCACATTTGGCTTATAGAATATGCCGCAAGCTACTAGCTAGACTAGAAGGGCGCATAGTTAGCATAACTAAATATCGTATGCTGTCGGGTCAATGTTCTTATGTAAGCGGCTAGCTTCAAGTGAAAGTGTATCAACTTGCGGCTGTTATTTCAAACAGTGCCAGCATCTTCCAAGAGTCAAGATAGCATCTAAATGCCCCGGCCAAGAGGAAAACTGTTAGTTGATTGACAGTTGTAATAAAATCGATAACAGTAGGGTGCAAGAACAGATTGAGCGTAATAGATGAAGGTATTGATTGATGGAGGCTCAAGGGATCGTGTATAACCGACTAGTTCATGTATCATACTTGATGAATTGCCATGTGATGAAAGAATGTGTGAAGGAACGATCATTACTTTATTATGTAGGTTAGAATCGAATGTAAACTATATAGTTTCATAACTGTTTTTTTGATTGCCTGATGCTAGGCCAGCTTGGTTAAGTGCGCGGTGCGGTCAGTACTTCAGTAAACTAGTATAAATCAGATAGAAGGTAATCATCAACGCGCTGAACTGCTGTCTGTGGTGATTAAGAAGGTAACAATTTGCAGGCAAAGTATATCTCTGTGAAGCGTGAAGGACTTGTTAACTCTCGTGCGTTAGAAATCCTTAACATAGGCTCGTCCACTAGTATCAGAACGAAATCCGATCGATATGATAATATTAATTCCTATGAATATTATATTTTTATTCTTACTATTATAATAAGAAATACTCAGAACAAAAGATGACACCAAGCTGTATACGAGTTGACTGACGGGAATTATGCACGACATTATGCTTAGAACGGGGGCTGACACGTGGCTACTTGAATGTGGGTGATAGTGGAGTAATTATAGGATGGTAATGAGAGTAATAATTACGAAAATAGCGTTTACGTTTATGATGCATGGTATAAAGATATAAATAAGTAAGAAAGTAGTATGTGCCGCATGCACGGTAGACACGTATTTTAGTAACGTGTCGAACCAATTCACCAGTAAGTTATATACAAATGAAGACAACAACATGCGGCGATATGCAGGCAAATAGGCAATAAAAGTATAAAACTCATGAATATTAAACAACTTAGTGTGTGACTGTGTGTAGTCGGGGGTATTGCGGAGGACTATTGCGGCTTCTTGCATATGTAAACCAGAGAATTTCTATGGGATTGCTATTGGCGCGTTCGTAATTCCCATTTCCGACGCGGCCTACACATTCCGTCTTCCCAGATTTCTAATTCATTGTAAAAGGAAAGCGACTTATAATTATTACCTCCTTTGCGAAGCCACGGTAGAGGTAACAATTCTAAGTGCCATCAGTTTAGAGATTGCGTCGAAGATCAGATTTGAGGATGACAGAGCAACAGAAAAGTTGAAGTGCATGGCTACGGAACTTTTAATAGTTTTGTAGTTCAATGAGAAACGTAGCGCCATTTTCACAGCATCTTATGGATTTCTTCCATAGCTTTGAGCCTACCCTACTACAACAAGCTTCTGTTCCGCTGTTTTAGCAATGCTTTAAGAACCTGTCAAGGTAGAGGACTCAATACGAGCACAGCATGTCATATAGTGACGAGCCCAAAGTTATGATCTGCTGAAGGTGCAATTTGTCCAGCGAAAAACTGATGCTGTTGCCCCCCCCCCCCTGCTTGAACAACTCCCGCAATGGACAACCTGCTCTTGCATATGGATCAACTACAGTAACAACTATGAATCAACTATCACAGTGAGTGGAAAACGTATATTTTCATGCGATGATACGTATAGCAAGTCTAAGATGCGTCGTTTTCCTTGTATGAAGGACGTTTCTTTACAGAGTTCAGCAGAGCATCGCGTTCAACAAGTGATACGAATCACCATCGACGAGAGGTGTTGATGAGAATTGGTGTTTATAGGGAAACTATGACTAAAACTGACAGACATATATATATATATATATATATATATATATATATATATTGCAATAAAGTACACTGCTAGAGAACTAATTGAAGCAGGCCATCTATGGTTTCTACGGCTAAACTTTTTAAAATCACTCTCCTACTACACGATATCATATAGGCGCATGCACGTGTGAAAAAGCTAAAGATTAGATAATAAATGCAACGGTGTTTAAATATTATACAAAAGAAAATCAGTAATATTTTCTATAAACGGAAAAATAAAATTTACTCAAAAAAGAATTCGATAATTTCCTTTTCTTCCTTTAGAAGTTCAACAGGGTAGAACATAGACGAATAGTCGACAATTAGATAATGTGCACAGGCTTACTATAATAAGTGAAGGCAATAAGCATTCTTGGAAAATGCATTTCATGTCGAAGGCTTACTTGGCATCAAATCACTGGACAGCGTAGAAAACATTATGCATCTCAGTGTGAAGGCACGGCACGGCAAGGCAAAGCGTGCGTAAGTTAGGAACTTCAAACCGACAGTCAGTGTCTCATATTATTATCTGAGATCATGTGTCCCAGTGAACCGACTGAACAATCTAGCTAGCGTCAAGAATTTTATTTAAACCTGCTAAGTATGTATGCAGATCTATAAGTAAGACAGACTCTTGAAAGCTAGAACATATAATCTTCTTTCAAGCCATAAAACAGTTTGTGTATTTCATAAAATATCAAGGCACATCCCCTTTTCCCACATGACTGAGGCTCAATTTTACCTTATCTCATTTAACGTATCACCTTAGCCCACTAGATGGGTTATCCATTTAAGTACCAAATTTTCGTTCTATAAATTCTCTTCCTTCCAACTAAAAACACGAGATAACAACAGACACATCTATGTGCTAATGCGAAATTAAAAATCCCAAATGTTATATGGTAATAGCTTCCATAAGACCTCACGCTTCCGTTTCTTTGACATCGCTTTCTCCGCCGCTAGAACACTTTGCTTGTGAAAACTAGGGCCTAAGTGAGTCGTTAATCTCAGAAACCAGGGCAAGCCTATATATAAGCAAGTGCCAAATCGGGCAATATTTATATTTCGTAATAACTAGGTAAAAGTGGATTTACTTTATAATATAAGGCACATCGTACGTAGGGCAATAAATGTTTTGCTTTAATTCATGATTTAATTAATTGATAAAAAATTATTTAAGAAATTTCGTGTCATAGATCGAAAGCACACATCACGATGGTCAAGCATTTGCCTTAATTCCGATTATGTACTCAACCGACTGACGCAGCCGTGAGGGCATCGGTACGTAAGTTGTTTCGACATAGTGTACTGCCGGGAAAGCTCTTGGCGCAGCACGCCCAGTGGAGGCCCACAAGTGCTCACCTAATAGAACGGGCGCAGGTCCAGAGAACAAGATTCTGATCCACATTTTGTACGCCTTAAGATATCATTTCTCTTTTATTTTTCGCACCCTTATTTCCATATTTTTCTTAAATGTTTTATTATCGTTATTGGCATAAGTTGTACTCTACTTATTGTTGAAATTCATCATTATAGAATTCTACTTGCCATCTATTATAATCGATGCAGGTGGCGCGGGAATTTTCAGCTTTTTGTATAAATTGCATAAAACTTAAAGCATTCACGAAGTTAGAGAGTGTTTTTGTTTAATATCTTTTTACAGGATCGTGCTTAAGTAATCATCAAAGCAGCATTAAATAGTTACGATTCTTAGCGGAGGCTGATTGTGTACTATAGCAGGTTCATGCACTTAAGTATCATCAAGCAACGCCAAGCGAGATCACAAATAAACTCTTTACAGTAAATAAATCTTTAAACAAATACGTTCTTAACTTAAATTCAATTTAAATACATTATACTCCTAGGTTGAGTTTTCTCGCTATGGTACATAAAGCTGCATGGTTTATTCCAGACATAATGGATTTAGCACGACCAGATGCAGTTGGCAAGAATAGTGGGTTCAAGGCGCTCAAAAAGTTTTCCAACCAGCAACCGTAATCAAACTAACAATAAAAACTTGGAAAAAACTTGGACTTAAAAAAGTTTGGTCTTTCGAATTTTGTTGATGTCGCGACTGGACTCGGTCAAAATGTGTGTTCGCTGGAGCTGCAATTTTATATTATTCCTAACAGGACACCGACCTTTTTCGTAACTACGGACAAATAATTTACTTTAGCGTAAGATCTTAGGCTTATCTATGTACTATACCAGTTTTTGCAAACTAGCCCACTAAAGGCCTTCATTTCAATCAAATTATTATTCGCGTTTATGAAGTTTAATGTTCATTCTACATTGTTTCTTCTTTTAATCTTCGTTTTTTTTTCTGGAGAGCTGGTTTTATTTCGTAAATTTAGAGACTACTATCCATAGCAAACGTAAGCACTTTTTGCAACTCGCGTAATAATCTACAAAGAGGACTTAAATTAATGAAATTTTGTCCCTATATATTACTCTATACCATTTACTATTTAAAAAAAAAACTGAATCTTTTCGGCCAGTCTCAGAAAATCCAGAGCACCTATCAGCTTCGCATTTTCTATATATATATATATATATATATATATATAATAATAATAATAATATATACATTATGACATAAATATTTCGCGCCTTTTAACTAAAGCCATTTTGTTCATTAAGCATTCTAGTTTTTTTCTATCTTCTTTGCCTGATTTTTCCTTTTTTGAATTCGAATAGGGTTGTGTATCTAACAGCATATGAACACTTCTATTGAAAATACTTGCCTTTTTACTTATATTGGTTCGCTTCCGTAACACACACGTAGTCCGATTCAGCTACGACAGTTTAGCATTTGCTCTTTGCCCCTTACCTTTCTTCAGCCCTCCTTGTTTTCTCGTTTTTCCAACATGCTTGGTAAACGTGTTTTTCTATAGGCTATATGGAGCAAGCCGATGAGCATGCGCGCTTGTTTATATAGTCTACGTTTCTCTCTGCCCAGCTGACCTAAACCTTTCCTTATTGTCTTTTTTACTATAAGCTATGCACTGTTGTACACTAATCCATATATTTGTCCTCTTGTTGCTTGGTACCTTACTTTGCATCATCGTTAGTTTTCCCACGGGCATAAAACGAAGCCTACGCATAGTACGTTATGCTTATATTTATTGTTTAAGTTCGTGCACAGCCTTTTCAAACGATTATAACCACTATTACTATTCTCTATTACGGATGCATTGCTGTGTATAGACATAACAGACTAGCACGCATATTGTTTGACTCATTCAGTATCTATAAAGCCCCCCCCCCCCCCGCTGTATCCCGTGCTGTTCCTCATTCTATTACACCATCAAAAATTTCTCTGTTTTCTCGACAGAGGTGTTTATTTCTTTTTTTTGTGTCATCATGCTTATCTATATATGTACTTCCTCTACTGCATGTTTATTTTTACACCTTTTCCCTTCTTTATATATTTATTCATTATTTGTCCACAACTTCCCCCGCTCTTTATCACTCTGTCATATTGGCTCTGCTTGCACAATCACTCGTCGATTTTTGTCCTCCTCTCTTTCATGGCTTTTGTCATCGTCAGTGCGTCATACTCGCACGTGCCTACACAGCTGGTACACGTTTTTTAGTTTTTTTTACCTTTCTTGTCTCATCTTCGCCCACCGCCTTAGCAGCATTACCACTGTACCTATATATAATCACGATTATCTTTTACAAACTCGGTCATAGTAAAGATGTTAATTATCATTATCTTTACTAATATCGGAAGTTAAGCTAATTATCTAAATCAATCTCCTTGCTTTATTATTGGTGATTGTAGGTTCGGCATGATATACTCTAGCAGAGTGATTTATTCCATATCGGAAAAGCATAGGTATGTCGTATCGCATCTGTTCTTCTTATTCACATTTATTCACTTAGTGCTGCTTAAATACGCATTTAGCCCATTAGATCGCTAAATTGTAGCTAAATATTGGACTCGACATCATTTTACATACAATACAATGTGACATTGTTACCAATCGTCAAAATAACAATAATATAATTAGCATGAGTTAGATATTTGTTGCCTCGTATATATGCGTTGGTGGTATTTTGACTGTTGTCCATGCAAAGACCGCTGGTAGTAGAGAAAAGTGTACGGATAGTGGTAAAAGAGGTAACAAGCAGACCGGATAACGAGGGAGTAGAGGGAACGGCGTGGTCGATCGGAACATTTCCACACCGGCGTTATCCACACATAGAGAAACTAAAATGTCATTATTTAGAAGATTAACGATGGTGCATACATTTCGAAACTATTGCGCCGCAAATAAAGCTTATAAAAAGAAATAACTTATGTTTTCGAAGCATAAATTATCGGAGCGTTATGAATCAAAACTCCCTCAAAACTTCCTTTCTATACATAAATAGATAACAGTGTACATACTACACTGCCTTCTTGGATTTCGCGTATCACTTGTCGTTTTGCCTCATAACGGTCAATCTAAGCAATGATCATTTAGTAATCAAGTAACCAAGTAGTAACTGACAGACTTCCTTTTCGAGGCCCCGTACCGACGTCTCTTTAGCGTATCCTCGGGGTCTGCCAGCATAACGATGCACCTCTTCCCCTATCGTAGGTGTGCTGGCGATTACTATAGATGGCAATTCATAAATCAATAATAATACATGTATTTCATAAATACGACTATACTATATAATAATATAAGTAATTAATCGCTTACCCCTGTATTCCCGCAACCACCGTCCTGTTTCATGCTTTTCTTTCGTCAGCGTTTTTTTCCTTAACTCCAATATTGTGTTTACTCCGTTGGGTTGTCAATTAACGGAACCCAGTGTTCAACTAATAACACCAGGCGATAAACTGACCAGACTGAATTCTATGGTAAATACATAGCATTTTCAACGGTTACTAGCGCCATCGTTGTTTCGGACAATTTTATAGTGACATTTGAGCGCAACAGCACAGGACAGCTTGTTTATGTATCAGTCGCAAATTTCTCTATAAATAAGCTTATTGTATCGTAAGTTTTTATAAAATGGGACGTTTGGTGGCTGTTAGTTTTCCTACGTACGTAACCAATTTCCAGGTACAGCTTGTAATCATAACCATGTTTATAACCAATGCTATCGGCAAGACCCATCTTTCTGGGGTTATATAATGACCCGAACAGTGCTAATTTTAATTCATAATGAATATTTTGGTGTTGTTCAAGTTAAGTTGGTGATATACCAACGCTTCTACCTTAATGTTGACGGCCTCTTTGTTGCAAGACAATACTTTTCTTACGGTTTCCACAGATTATAGTAGAATCTGCATTGAATACTTGATTAAAAAGGAAAAAGCTAAGCACCAGTTCGCCCTGTCAGTTCATTAATAAAAAAAAAATTAATTGTAAATTAATCAGCAAAAAATTTACCACTTAAAAATGATTCCTTTGCATTGATGAAACTGTGCTAAGTCAAGATGCCTGCTCCTTTATAGTTTATGCACATACGCATAATGTAGGTAACAATCAGAATAATCAGCTTTTACTTTTCTGTTTCTTGAGAATTACTCCTCTTCATATAAGGTGTGCCAACATCATCTATTCCTATTATAGTTATCATTAACGTCGCTACTATAATTAGCAATTTTATTAAGAAGGTTTAGCGTCTGCATGTAGTTTAATATTTCGTGCTGGACGGAACACATTTTCATTTTCCATCACGGAATGCATGATCTGTAATAAATCTGTGTATACGTGTGGCCAGAAATCTTCGTCTTTCCAATGCAAAATTTATTCTTCTCCTGCCCGAGAAGGCGTGAAAATGCACAGAAGCATAGATCATTTTTTTTTAAGATCTTCGTTTTCATTTTGAACCGAATATTCCAACAGCATGTTGAATAGGATGTACAAAACGTGACTTAGGTGTAGTTACAAATGGCGAACCGAACGAATACTATCTGTCTCAATATGTAAAAGAAATACTACGTAATTGCTCATGAATGATGTTCTTCTCGAAAAAGGTAGGTTTGACGTAACTCGTCTCTAGCCAGCGGCATTACAAAGTAAATGCCGTATGGTGTCATTTCCCAAAAAACGAAAGTTCTGCGTATGCTTACAAAAATGTGTTAGGACGTATGGGATTTCCAAAGTTGTTCATATAATTCTGTACGTCGTCTGCGAAACTGATATACAAGGCTCACGATACAAATCATCGTCATTATACACTACTTATACATAGCTTAAGATTCCAAAAGAACAATCAAATGGATCCAACTGAGTAAACAGTGAAAATACATCACTTGGTTAAAAAGCAATCCTGATCAAGAGTTGAATAGTCAGAAAGCAGACTCATGCCAAATCTAGCTGAGTGAAATCAGCATTATATTAACACAACTTTAACTACTTTTTTTCAATAAGAAAAAGTATAATAACTTGATGCGTCATGCGAGCCTAAGCTTTATACGGGCTGAAATCGATAAGCAAAAACAAAAATCGATCAGCGAAGAAAGGCAGAGACCTCAACTACTACTTCATTAGATTAATTCGTCTAATTAAATTGAGCCCGTATTAGAAAAAGTACTGTCGGACTGTTTGTTGATGAATTGGCTTTGGTAAGGACGACGATTAATTTTATTGTGAAATGATGATGAACTTCACGTAACCAGTTGCCTCCGTCCGAATTACTGAGTTTGACATCCACAAAAAACAAGTTTCGTCAAAGCAATCGGGACGCCAAATTCTTATGACGGCATTGCGGAGATGATCGCTTATCAGTGTAGCTTTCCCCGTCACGTTTGCTAACAAGGCAATTGGATAGCACCATTCA